CCAAATTTTTATTTCCTTTCCATATTTCATCGTTAACTTTAGAATAACATAAAACAATAGGGAAATTATCAGAAATATAGAAAGATAAATTATTTACCGCAGCAATGCAGGTATTCAAAGACTTGTAAAAACGAGGAGAAACAGAATAAATTCTATCACCCTAGTAAGTAATAATGTGAGGATCGTAAAAGCGCGTCGAAATTACGACTAATTACGAAACTTTTACGTCGGAGAGTTTCGAAGATAGAATCGGGTCAAGAGGGTGTGTTAATGACAGAACCCACATGGGACGAAAACTTTTTTCGAATTGTAAAACAAACGCGACGCGATGATAAACAACAGGGGGGAATGTCGACAGAGAGAAAGAGCTTTGTCGAAATGCTCGCGAACAAGTGTCGGGTCGTCGAGCGCGAACATTAAAAGCACCGTCATCACCTCTCCGATCTTTTCCCGACCCGGATCAGTCTCAAGTTTCGCCTAGAAACAAAAGAGTGACCAATCGGGGTAAGGGAGAGGGCGAAAGGAACCAATCAAGAGGGTGAGATTCGGGGAAAATCTTATAAAACCCCCGGATCTCAAGGACAGCAGAGAGATTCTCCGCCGCTTCTCTCCGAAGAGGAATTCCCAGCCGATTCTTCGCAGTTCTCCACTCGGACAAGTTTCTGCACCAGTGACCAAAATCTCCGTGCATCCGCAATATCACCGACAGAGGCACCTGTGTAACGGACACTCTCCTGTCAAGCCTAGGACACCAGTCAGCGCCCGTTCGTCGACATCAAGGAGCTCCCACCAAAGCCGATCTAGATCGCATTGTAATTGTCATTTTGTAAGTTAACCTTATGTCAAAATAAATGGTTTTCTTGTAAGACACTTGTCATCTTTGTCTCTTACCGCCACCACCCACATACGGTTTGACCCTAGGTTTTCCTGACGCGCAATTAACGTATTGTCCCCTAAAGTCGGCGACCTTACAATAATAAAACCATATGTTTCCATGATTNATGTCAAGATGGGATAAATTAATATATTTTTTCTCTGCATAATCGGTTATCCGAAACATCGATCTTCCGAACAACCCCAATCCCCAATTGATTCGGATAATAGACGCTCTACTGTAATTAATTAAATCAAAGGAACATGTTTTTCACTTAATTTCCTGATAATTTTTTTTTATTATTTTTGTAATTTACAGACATCATCAGGTATATTTCCTCTCCTCAAATTATCGCATATTTCACACAAAACTTTAATTTGATTGGGAGTAGCTTCTTTCAGTATTGCTTTTCATTGAGGAGTAGTCTTGGACAAAAGTGCTAACATATGATAATTTTTCTTTACATACTTCATTTTATTGGTAAGTGTATCCAAAAAATACCTTGTTTGTCGGGAAAACACGAATCTCTCACAGAAAATTTCTTATTCGTTTTAGAATGAAAATCTAATAACAAATAACCAAATTCTTTTTCCGTCGCTTTTTTTATATGCATCCATAAAAAATCGCATTTACTAGCAAAAGCTTGCTGCCCCAAACAACTTACTTGACTTTCATCGCGATTATTTTTAAATAATATCAAATAATGCGTGTTTAAAGTTATATCTCTTGTTAAGTTCAGTTGTAACATGTGTCAGAGATGTGTCAGGTGTGTGAATGTCAACAAGTGGTGATGGACAGTTCACAGCTTTGTCACACGTGTCAGGTGAATGAGGTAACATTATCCCAAGAATTCGGGGTGAAATTGTCCTGCCTAGAGAGGGAGAAATGGTGAGAGAGGGAAAATTTGTGCGCTTCCCTTTGGTTGTGTGTATCGAGTCAGAGCTGTGTGTAGAGGCAGTGCTCAGAGGAGTGCTGACCACAGTACTGACTAGGGAGCTAACCAGAGTGGGTAGCTGTGTGGCTGGTCAGGAACCAGTGTTGTAATTACCAATAATTGTCGGGTGCCTGAGTGTTGCTCGATTGTGGAGTGCCAGAGTCACTCGCGGATTTGGAGACATTACAGAGTCATTGCATTGTTATTGTTACAAAGGAAGTTTGTACTGTGTTCTTTTAGACCGTGTAAACGGAACATTTCATACCAACACCATTACAACATCATTTTTTATACAACATCTCTCATAACTCTATTTTTTGGAAACAAATTTTGCATTATCATTATCACGCGTACATTATAATGACGAGACTCTGTTGTAAACAAAAATGCAGTTTTTGAACTGAGTTCGTGCATCAAATCATCAATTATTATTAAATCCCATCCTTGCACGGATTCAGGTAAACCGTACATGAATGAAACATCTTTTCCCTCGCGAAAAACGGTAAATATACGGAATAACACCATAGAACCACTTTTAATGTCTTTTCATAAATTTTGTTACGAATAATTTTTCTCCCTAGTGTAGTCTTTCCGCATTACGAGAATCCAACGATTATAAAGTTACTAGGATTTTTGAAGCACATATTAATTGAACTTATATGCTTTAGTAAATTTATAATGCTTTAATCCGCAAGTTATCTCTCTAAATATTAATATATTCTTTTTGTTCTTTTCTATATAAACTTCATTTATAACTTTTGAACATTCCTCGAACGAATAATGTAATTTATTACTAACTTGATTAATTCTTCCATCCTCGTCAACAATTATAAAACCAAATTTTTATTTCCTTTCCATATTTCATCGTTAACTTTAGAATAACATAAAACAATAGGGAAATTATCAGAAATATAGAAAGATAAATTATTTACCGCAGCAATGCAGGTATTCAAAGACTTGTAAAAACGAGGAGAAACAGAATAAATTCTATCACCCTAGTAAGTAATAATGTGAGGATCGTAAAAGCGCGTCGAAATTACGACTAATTACGAAACTTTTACGTCGGAGAGTTTCGAAGATAAAATCGGGTCAAGAGGGTGTGTTAATGACAGAACCCACATGGAACGAAAACTTTTTTCGAATTGTAAAACAAACGCGACGCGATGATAAACAACAGGGGGGAATGTCGACAGAGAGAAAGAGCTTTGTCGAAATGCTCGCGAACAAGTGTCGGGTCGTCGAGCGCGAACATTAAAAGCACCGTCATCACCTCTCCGACCTTTTCCCGACCGGATCAGTCTCAAGTTTCGCCTAGAAACAAAAGAGTGACCAATCGGGGTAAGGGAGAGGGCGAAAGGAACCAATCAAGAGGGTGAGATTCGGGGAAAATCTTATAAAACCCCCGGATCTCAAGGACAGCAGAGAGATTCTCCGCCGCTTCTCTCCGAAGATGAATTCCCAGCCGATTCTTCGCAGTTCTCCACTCGGACAAGTTTCTGCACCAGTGACCAAAATCTCCGTGCATCCGCAATATCACCGACAGAGGCACCTGTGTAACGGACACTCTCCTGTCAAGCCTAGGACACCAGTCAGCGCCCGTTCGTCGACATCAAGGAGCTCCCACCAAAGCCGATCTAGATCGCATTGTAATTGTCATTTTGTAAGTTAACCTTATGTCAAAATAAATGGTTTTCTTGTAAGACACTTGTCATCTTTGTCTCTTACCGCCACCACCCACATACGGTTTGACCCTAGGTTTTCCTGACGCGCAATTAACGTATTGTCCCCTAAAGTCGGCGACCTTACAATAATAAAACCATATGTTTCCATGATTGCAACTTTCAATCTTGGTATTAAAAATAAATTCTAACGTTCCTTAAAACTACATTTATATCAAAAACCGACCAATCATATATCTTCTATAACATAATTCATAATCGAAATAAAAATTAGCTCATAAAATGAATTAGAAAAATAATTAATTTTTTAAAACATTTGATAATTAAACTTATTGTTAAAATACAATTAATTTAATTAAAATTTGTGATTAAGATTTTTCCTAAAAATTAATTTTGTAATCAGTATGTTTCAAACCACCACTACTGTACTGACATATATAGTATATATTCAACGGATATTCATTAAAATTCTTAAGATACTTGGTATAAAAATGTTTGGCTTTTCCATAAAGTTATTAAGTGAATTGAAACATTATTATATGATTTGCTCTAAAACCTAATGGATTTTTGTGTGCATTAGAAATTGCGTCCAATGAAGTGAAAGAAGTTAAATATTGACTCATGATTCATAAAGATTAAAACTAGTTAATAAAAAGATTAATAATAATTCGAACGTCGTATTACGCTCATGTTATAAATTATTATTCGATAATCAATTAGTAATTAAAATCCATTATCTAATTAAATGATGCCACTAGTTACACATCTAATCAACTACAAAACTATCTCGTGTAATATACATCCATTAACTTAGTCATTTTATGAGAAAGTTTAGTGCTATTCAAAAAGAAGCACTGTCCATTATTTTGACTCTCTTCGACTACTACTGAACATCGTCATTATCATGAACCCATTCAAAATCAACGAAATTTGCATGGGCTGTCTATTAAGACCATGCTGTGCACACGCTCTCATCTACGGTTTCGAACCTTTCAAGACTTGTAACCACACAAACAATAACCTTCAAATTATTCATAATAACAAATTTAAAAACGCTTATATTCAATTTATTGAATTGATATTTTGGAATCATTCTGTTATTTTATTGTGGCAAATTATTCCCAATTGGAATAAACATGCAGTCTGCCTTGGATGGTACAATATAATTGAAGGAGATGCGATGCTCGTTAAATGTGTAGTTATATGCTTGGTGTGTTCATGCGTCTTCATTTTCAATTTTTGCAAAAAGAAGAAAATGATTTTGGAATTAAAATTAAAAAACGAATATCTTATTCGAAACATAAAATCAATCAACTTCGCAATGAATGAGTTTTGTCTATTTGTTTCTTTTGCAATTATTTTCACAATCATTAATCAGGCTGCTCACAATCTTTTAACCTTTTATCCAGAAGTAGAAAAATCGGCAAAATTTCCAGGAGAAGCATTATTCTGTACCATCCAGCTTCAATTATACTGTACTTTTCTTTATGGCTTAATTGGTCACGGTTTAATAATGGCAGTTATATTGTTAATTCTCATCGAAATGGAATTCAAGCAACTATCTAAAGAACTGGCTCTTGTAAGAAGAAATGATGGCAATACCTATTCGAAATTGAAAGATGTGATGATTCGTCACGAAAGTCTATGGAAGTTCGTCAATCAGTTCAATACGAAATTCAGTCATCTTAGTATGATTACTTATTTTGCTATGACTTCGACTACGAGTTTTCTCTTTTACATGTTCTTACACACGGATGCAGCCGACATAATTCGTGTTGGATTTCTAATAATGCTTATTTTCTTTACTTTCACATGCATTATTACTGCTTGTCAATTGTGCTGTTTTGCCTTCACGGTAAAAATTATTTTTTTGTAATATACTAACGTCATATTTTAATATTTTCTGTTAATAAATTACTTGATTTTGCAGATGCAGAATGCCTTTCAGGACATCCGACAATTTGCTGTATGCGGTTTACGTATAGAAAAAAAATTAAAAGTAATAGGCAGCGTTTACATATATAGTGAAAGTATAATTTTAAAAAAATACACACATTTATATAGTAGGAAATACACAAAACGAGCTGAGCATTAAGTTCTCATAATCAGTAACCACCTATTCATATTAAAACATAGTAAAGTCATATGATTAAATTGTATTTAATAAACCAAAAATTACCTAAACAAATATGAGATTAAAGTAATAACTTTTAAAAATGATAAACATAAAGGTTTTTCTGTACGGAAAATTGTGAACTACGAGTTTTATACATTAACTGTTGTCAAGATGAATAAAAACATTTGAATCTTCGTAGTTTCAGACATTGTGTTTCAGACTTCTTCCAAAAATCAACACGGCTTTATCTTGAAGTGTACTGTTTTATAATAGCTACAGCAGCAAATTCAAATTTGTCCCGTATCGAAATTACTAAATTGTATTTTGAATATGTGGTGGTGAATGATGAATAATTAATACTCGAAAGCGCTTCAGCCGTTCAGTGTATTTCCTACTCAATTACATCACATTTTAATTTACAGTTTGAATTTTTATGCAATAATAATCTTAAAGATAAGTAATAATTAAATAAATTTTTACGAAATGTTATTTTTGCAGATTTTAAATTTTATGAAAAGATTTGGGAAAGTCTCCTTATGTCTGACCATTGGTGGTATCTACCCAGTTACAAAGAGAATTCCTTTCAAAGTTTGTAATTTTTTCACAGCGTAAAGGAGTTTTAAATCTTGATAAACATAGAAGTTTGCACATTAAAATTTTACCATAAAAAATTATATAAACTTTACATCAAGTCTATAACCCTTTTCAATGAAAGCTATTTTTAATATTACTAATATTTAATTTATAAAATAATTTAAATGCGAGAGATATATTATTTTATTCTTTTAAACTATAATTGGAAATGTCTATAGGCAGGAATATTTGAGAGACAATTTTATTTGTATTTAAATTAAACATATTAATTATTTAAAATATTAATGATACGAGTTTAAAATTTATAATAAAAATTAATATAAATATTTAACAAAGATGTTTATTCTTTTTTTAGGTGTTTTTAACCATTATCTGGCTAATTTATTTCACATTCTTGCAGGTTGCAAAAACATTACATTCCTTCTTTTCGGCTTTCATGAAACTTCAAGGTTTGTCGAAAGAAAAAAGCAGCTGTAACAACTTAACATTGTAATTAAATTCTTCAGAAAAGAAGTTTTTTAGATATTGATATTAAAACAATTCAAATATGCCCATAATTTAAATAAGTTATTATGTGTAAAATGCAATATAACCGTTCAAATACATGGAAGAAGGAGTATCTCTTGTTTGCATGAAAGATGCAAGTAGATTGCAATTATTCGTTTATACTTAATAGATGTTTTGTAAATCTAAACTGATTTTTTTATGATAAATAATTGTCGTATAAAGTCACTTTAATAGCGATAATAGTAATTCTCACATTTTATTTACCTAACAATAAATATTATTTTAATTTTTAAAAAATTAGTTGGGATGTCGACAAATGTCTAACTGGAAAACTAAATTAAACCAATTTTAATTGTTTCCTTTAATATATAGTAGAACTCGTTGTTCTTCGTTGTGGAATGATTGTGGAAAACAATAAATACTTATCAGTTTTTATTTGACAAGAATATTTTAGAATAAAAATACATTTGTTTAGTGTCGCACGAACATTTCTTTTGCAGTATTCTTTTAATAGAAATTGACATACAAATATATTTATAAAATTTATTTCTTGTCTAAAAGTGAAAGTGTTCTTTATAGCAAGATCTATAAAATAGATAAGGGAAAGTCATCCAGCATTCTCGCAGAGACCAGAAAACCTATTGTGCCAGAGTTGACAGGAAGCTAAGAGAAAACGATTCTAACTGGCCCACGGGAAAATTCATGAAGACTTACCAATATTATCCTGAGGTCGCTACAAAATGCAGAATACCGACGAGACAGCCACTTTATTCTCAATTCCAGCGCCAAAGACTTTTAGAACTCATAGAATAAGGCATTCATAGCCCAAACTCAATTCCCTGGGTCCATAGAATAAAATATTAGACTTTGTTGCAGAATACACAGAAAACTAAGGTTGTAAACATTATACATAAAATATGAATTTATTGTTTTCTTCACCAATATCCATACAGAAATCAAAGCATTTGTTATTTTTTAATCACTGCTAGTAATGTACTTATAGTAAAATTGGATTGTAAATCGAACCACACTTAATAATTTATAAAACATTTAAATTACGACAATGGAAAATTATTATTAGAATTTAGATTATTGAATTAATCGTGTTACACTTAGTTACGTGTATAGTAAAAACTGTCTCACGAAATTCAAGAATTAGCTAGCTTGAATGAGGTATCAAACACAATGTAGGAATGTTAATAACCACTATTTGGTCAATAAAAAATGTTAGTAATATCAAAATTAGAATGTACTTTGGTCTCCTTTTCTTATTTCTAATTTTGTGAAATTTTATACATTTTTGAATAAAATCCTAAATTTCCTTTTAAGAAAAAACTTAAAATTATTTCTATTGCTGTAAAACAAACGCAGACGTGAATGAGATAACTGTCTAACTTATTGATTGGAAACATCTTGATTGAAAAATTTGATAAATTGTTGACTCGTTTTAATAAAAACATGACAACAATTTTATTCATATATGCTGTTATATTCTTTATATTATTTGTATTCATATATAACTTCGTATATTTATGTACAGTACAGTAGAACGTCGATTATCCGAATCAATTGGGGACTGGGGTTGTTCGGATAACTGATATTTCGGATTATGTTCGAAAAAATAGTTTAACGTATTCGATGCTGAAATTTTTCTCCGTTGCGTGTCGCTTCGAGTTGAATTTTCGTCGCTGTTAAGTCTAACGAAGACTATTGTGTCATTAAAAATTATTTTTTTATTTTGTACAAACAAAATAAATATATTGAAAAATATAAAAACAATAAAAAATTATACTTCAGAAGTCAATTTAGTATCAAAAACGTAATATATTTGTTTAGCCCAAGACACAGCCGAAGATTGCAGCACCACAGCACTAGCAAAAATTTAAATTTGCCGACTGGAATTTTTTCGGATAATTGACGTTTCGGATAATCGACGCTCTACTGTATTCGTATAAGAGCTGACGTTGTTTACGAATATATACTTATAAGAATACATATGTGAAAATTCGGAAGCAAGTGTGAATTTTTACACTTTGTGTACTGTCACATCGAAGGTGACTTTCATTGTCTGAAAAAGGACTCCACTCACACCAGGGGATCGTTCATGTCTAACGTAAATATAAGGTGCAGACAAGTAACCAATTAACGGTGACGGCCCACTGTTACTGTGTGGAGAGTAACTAAAAAGGTCAGCTGCAGGGGTAGACTGTCAGGTGAGAAAATGTATAACGTTACTGGGAATGGCCAGTCATCACCTCAAGTGATGATAATTTTAATACTGACTGGTCGGTCGAGGTGACGTCGATGATCATAACTGCGCCACCGTGACGGGAGAGACAGTAATAAATCTGAAGAACTGTCAAAAATCAAGTAAACAGCATACCCAGTCAAGACAATTACGTCAAAAAAGTCCCAGGTATTTCCCACGCTAACCGTGTATAAAAAGTAGTCGAATTTGCACCTTCGGGTGGACTGCCGAAGAGGACTCCACCAGGTAAACACTCTCACCGAACAGCCGAAGAGGACCCCGCCGAAGCAACACCCTCAACGGACAGCCGATGGACAGACCTCTACAGTCGGAGATCAACGGAGCGTACACCCATATCGGACTGATGTACCTGGATGTCGAGCAGACATCCAGGAACATCAGTTCCATACCGCCATAACGTCCATCGCTCCATATCGCCATCCTAGGAAACTTCGATTAGAAACTGCCGATCACAGTGCATCCTACCAACGCCCTATACGAAGAGATCGAATCCTACGAGGTAAACCCTTGCTCGAATGTTGTCTCTCTCTCTCTCTCCAACACGTCCCTCTTAGAAAGGTCTCTCTTGATCTTTCGATCTTTAGTTTAAGATAAAACGTAGATATAGAATAGATTCCTTTTATTATTTATGCATGTGTCGTTTATGCTTTTTTCTTTGATATGTATAATTTCTTAGTTGTTCATTAAAAGTGTTGTGGTTGTTCAACCTGTGTAGTTATTTGGAAACCTTGTCATGGCCTCACGACCTCTCTCGACTCGATTTGCTTTCCTAAGCCATCCGACAAACCGAAAGCGGGTTTTACCAACCTGTGCAGATTAAGTGGTCATTAAGAATCAATCCGGTGGCCCCTGCTCACTCACACATACATATACATAATTTACACACTGTTTTTTTACATATAAAAAGACCAATATTAAATTATAATAAACTAGCAGATAAGCCCAGTGTTACCCAGGCAAAAAGTAATGATAACGAAAATTCAGATAATTATATCATAGTGAATCTTACAGAATGAAGGAATTAGGTCATCCTGTTTCCAGACTAATTAGAAAATTTTTAGATGGGTCAAAAAATATGTTTGATTTCTCGCAAAAACGCAAAAAACCACATTTGCACCTGTAAATCTTGCATGTTGCTTTCTCTTAACACTTAATTCTTACATTAACATTCTTAACACTTATTGTTAACATTGCAATTCTTAACACTTCTATTGTTAACACTTTCATTGTTAACATTGCCATTCTTAACACTTTTATTGTTAACACATTTATTCTCAACACTTCCATTCTTAACACTATTATTGTTAACACTTACATTCTTAACACTTTCATTTTTAACATTGCCATTCTTAACAATTTTATTGTTAACACTTCCATTGTTAACACATTTATTATTAACACTTTCATTCTCAACACTTCCATTCTTAACACTATTATTGTTAACACTTACATTCTTAACACTTTCATTTTTAACATTGCCATTCTTAACACTTTCATTCTCAACACTTCCATTTTTAACACTTTTATTGTTAACATCGCCATTA